CCCCCCGCCTATTGAGCACCACTGGCCAGGCTTGGCCTATTTGCATATTTTTACCTTTGTCTCTCTAGAGCAGCCAATGAGCGGGCGCGGCTGAGTCTGGGCGGGGCCAAGTGAGATTCCTTGCGCCTGCTCGCCACATTGCCGGAGGGAAAAGCGCGCTGGTGTCGCCGCCGCGTCCCTTTCACCTGCTCTGTTCTGCCGGAGGCGCGGGGAGCCGAAGGGCTGTGCGGGCAGGAGGGAGGCGCTGCTGGGTGCGAGCGGGGCGCGATGGTGTGCGGCGGCTTCTCCTGCTCCAGGAACTGCCTGTGCGCCCTTAATCTCTTGTATACGGTGAGTAGCTGGCGCCCGGCTCTCCGAACGGGCTTTATGCGGCTTCTTCACCCTTTTCAAAACGCCGGCTTGGGTCCCCCCCCCCCTCCGGCGGTATGTGGGGCGAGCAAAGACAGCGCCGCCGCGGCCTGAGCGGTCGCCTTGGGACCTGTATTGTGGCGCTTCCCTGGCTGGTCTCCTGGACTGGCGGAGCGAGCGGGTGGGCTGCATCATTCCCCTCCACCTGCCTGGGCGAGGAGCCGGGGGAAGGGGCTGAGCAGGTGCACCTGCAGCGGCGAGGCAGGACGGGAATCGGGAGAGCGAGGCTGGCAAGGGGGGAGGGACCGAGAACCTGCTAGAAGAATGGAGGGGATCCCCGTCGCCATCCGAGCAGGCGGTGGGAAGGGAAGCGCCAAGGCGCGCTGCTCGGGAAGCGTCTCTTTTTGCCGAAGCTCGCCCCTCTTTTTTTGGCTTCTTCTCAACATGGCTGGTTGTGCCTTTACCAGCCACGCGGCAGGTAGAAAGGCTGGCTGGCTGGCTTTCCTAGGAGGTGCCACGCTGGGAAAAGCTTCCCGTGTTGATCTTCTGCCTCTTGTAGTAGGCACCAGTTTTTCTTTCCTTAAGGAAATATGACCAGGCATCCATGTTAAAAACGAAACGCTTCCCTTGGCACGTTCAGTTTTAATAATTAAACCAAAGACTGTTTTGGCTTGTAAAAGCGTGATAGGGTTTTATAGTTTTAAACGCTGGCAAGGGTTAAATTAACTTGTTCAGCTTTACACCTTTACCCCAGGCGAAGAGTTATAATTGGAGAACACCTTGCATCCCACACCTGTAAGCAGAATTATTAAAGAAGCTCCCCTGGTCTTATGCAGCCCAAACATTTCACTTGCTTGTTTTCTCTGGTCAGGTGTAAGTGCCACACTCTGTTTAGAGTCTCCCTGAGATTGCTTATTGGACAAAGTTTGTGAACAGTAGCAAATATCTAAGCAAGAAAGCTTGTAAGCTGTCTACAGCCATTTTTGTTATAAAATATTTGGCTGAAGGGTGAGAGAAGCTCACATGAACACCCCTGAAACTGACTAGTACTGAGTCAGACCATTACTCTATGCAGGTCAATATTTGTCTACTCTGACTAGCAGTGGCTCTCCAGGGTCTGAGGTTGTGACGTCTTTTGCATCACCTCACCTCATTCTTTTAACTGGAGATTGCAGGACTTGAACCTAGGACTTAAATGTATGCAAAGCAGACACTCTGCTACTCAGCCACACCTCCTAAGTGTTGTATATGCCAAACTCTGCTCTAGAGTTTTAAGGATGCTGTGATTATCATATGCATCCTTTCGCATCTGAAATGCTTTACAGGTGCTATTCATGCAGTCCCCTGGGACATAGCTTTTCACAGCTATTCTTGCATACACCTGGGACATATCTAATGGCGACTTCTTGTATGTTGGTGAACTTAAAAAAAATCACTATTTTCATTATGCAACACTATAGTTTCACTTATTAATAGATGCCCTAAGTTGGGGTGTCAAACATAAGGCCCGTGGGCCAGAATCGACCCGTTCAGGCCTCTTATGCAGCCCGCAAGCAACTAATGCAAGGGAGGGAGTGCTGGGCAATGCTTCCTCTAAGCTGTGGAGTCTTGTGAGCAAAAATTCTACTTTGTGAGCTACTGGCATTAAAGCTGTGAACGAGTGATTTTGCCACTGCATAAATTAATTTGCTCTGGAGCCATCCTTTCTGAGCTAGGACAAAAATGTGTGAGCCAGAGGCTAAAAAACTGAGCTAGCTCACACTAACTCAGCTTAGAGGGAACACTGGTGCTGGGGGAAGTGGGTGGGGCCACTGCATTGTGGCTTCAGCACACCACAACAATCTCATCTGTAGCAGTCAAGCATTGTGGGTGCATCTGCCCAGCCCTCCACTGCTGCCTCCCCAGTCAGCTTATGTGGGTTTTCCTCTGCACCCCCCGCTTCCAGCCCATGGGGCCTTTCAGTGAGGATACACCAACTTGGAGCATACCAGCTGCTGTCCTTTACAAAGTTTCTATTTCCGGTACCTGCCATTACGTTTCATGGTACCCATGGCCTTGCCTGACAAAGTGACATTTATGTCAGATCCAATCTCTGCCCTAAGTAGTCAAGCTTAACTTGGTTATGCTATTGGAAAGGAAAACCTGATTGTGTCGTCCTGTGATGGCAGGGTCTTAGTTAATTACTCTCAGCATCCTGCAATTAAGGATATATCTGTCCATCAATCTCCAATTTTGACATATTTATTTCCTTCACTGTGTTTCCCCCCAGAATTAAATCCAAACTAATGGTACCCATAAAAACTAAGCTTGTTATTCTTTTTTTGGTCCTTGAATCTGTTATGCTGTATGCCATTATGCTGTATGCCAGGGGTGTCAAACATGCAGCCTGGGGGCGGGATCAGGTTTGGTGTAGTGGTTAAGTGTGTGGACTCTAATCTGGGAGAAACGGGTTTGATTCCCCACTCCTCCACTTGCACCTGCTGATGTGACCTTGGGTCACCCACAAGCTCTGGCACAGCTGTCTTTGAAAAAGAGCAGTTTGTGTCAGAGTTCTGTCAGCCCCACCCACCTCACAGGGTGTCTGTTGTGGGGAGGGGAAGGGAAAGGAGTTTGTAAGCCGCTCTGAGACTCCAAGTGAAGGGCGGGGTATAAATCCAATCTCTTCTTCTTCCCTCAAGGAACTGGCTGTTTCCTGCTTCATTTTCCAGTGCTGCTGCCACATCACAGCTTGCTTTACCAGTCTCTCTCAATCACACAGGAGAGATAGACAGGCAAAGCCCTATATGGCCGGGGTCCGACATACCTACAGGACCGCCTTTCCCTGTACATACCCCAGAGAGCACTACGGTCTGGGTCTAAAAATTGGTTGACCCTCCCTGGCCTGAGGGAGGCCAGGCTAGCTACAACCAGGGCCAGGGCCTTTTCAGTGGTGGCCCCCACCTGGTGGAACGAGCTCCCGGAGGCGATCAGGGCCCTGTGGGACCTTTCACAGTTCCACAGGGTTGCAAGACGGCGCTCTTCCACCAGGCATTTAATTAGGGGCTGCTGCTGTCGTTGAGCCCTGGCTCGTGGTTTTAACATCGAGCTGATGCCATAAGAAATTCTTAGCAGAAGAACATCTGAAATATCTGGGATGTGGTAATTCATCTTGAATATGAGCCATCTAAGTTAAGCTTTTAATTGTTGCCAGCACCTTGTGTTTGTAATTTATCTGTGGTGTTTTAAATGATTCTATAATTTTAACTGTATTTATGTTTGTATGAAAGCCACCCTGAGCCCGCTATGCGGGGAAGGTGGGGTATAAGTCTGATAAATAAATAAATAAAGCCTTCCCTGTGTGATTGAGGGGGTCTGTTAAAGAACTGACTGAGGCTTCTCCCCCTTCTCCTCCCAGGGGGAGGGAGGGAACAGCCAGAGTTTGATTCCTGGTCATGCTTTAGGAGACAAAGGGAAGCCTTTCTTTCCTTCCATTGGCTGAGGTGCCTCCCTGAAGGAAGGGAGGGAACGGGGGAGAGCTTGCTTTGCTGGGCTGCCTCAATCGCTCGGGAGAAATACCAAGCACATTTAAGACCAACAAAGTTTTGTTCAGGGTATGAGCTTGTGTGTACCTTGCTACAGTGTGTGTGTGTGTGTGTGTGTTTTGTTGGGCTCTTTATACTAGGGCTCTCCTGGGTGCAACTGGGTTCCCTCCCCCTTTTTACTGTATTCATGCCCTCATGATCCAGTCTTTCTAAGTAAGAAAGCAATGTGAACTATTTTAGAGGAGGAATAGCAACAAGCCAGTGAGGTGGATTAGGCTGAGGGTGTGTGCCCAGACTAAGTTCACCCAGCACATTTCCTTTGTGGAATGTTGTAGTTATTTCTCTGGGGAAGACTATAGTTTTGTAGACAAACCCATGGCCCTCAGTCTGTGTCAGGATGCCTCCTCATGTTCTTGGCCGGCACATGAAGCAACTTGATGTACAAAAGGTTGCAATGCTCAGCCATCTCGTGTTTTCCCCTGGGTCCTAGGCTCAGAACACTGAGCATGAGATTTCTGTAATGAATGTCAGTAAATCAAAAGTAGGTTTGCAGCTGACAGATACACACCTGAACAGCATACTCAAGATTGTTACAGCACAAACATTTTGATGCAATAATTCAGAGCAAGAAGTGTCAGTTAACAAAGATTATTAAATAGACAAAATATTGCAAGAGTGCTGGTGTTTTAAGCATACTATATTTAAAGTTTTAAAAATCTTAAATTTGGTCTGTGTCCTTTATAAAGTTTATATCTCCGCTACCTGGCATTATATTTTATGACACACATGCCCCGGCCCAACAAGGTCTCATTTATGTCAGATCCGGCCCTTATAACAAATGAGTTTGACACCCCTGCTGTATGCTAATTTACTATTCACCCTCTACCTATGTGTATGGACTGGTAATTTCCAGTTCATTGTATCTGAAGAAGTGTGCATGCACGCAAAAGCTTATACCTTGGATAAAACTCTGTTGATCTTAAAGATGCCACTGGACTCAAAGTTTGTTTTGCTGCTTCAGACCAACATGGCTACCCACATGAATTGAAGATGATGTCGTGTGTTTGCTTTTAATACAGGTGTATAAAAACATGTACACACTTATGTTTTTAGTGATGTTTTTGTGTGATACATGTACATGAGGGCTAGGAAAATGTAGTCACTGTGAAATGAGCTCAGGCTAGTAAACAAGAGGTCTGAATAATGCTAAGAACTGAACAGCCCTCTGGGAATCTTACTGAAGGCCTTGGCAGTTAACATCTGACATTTATTAAAATTCTAGGGAGTATTTTGTTTTATTTATTTCATTTTTTAATTTCCTTCCTCTAAGAGTGGCAATTCAGTCACAAAACCTGCACAGATAAAATCTTAGGTCTGAGACAACCCGCTGACCTGTTTGTGCAGGACGCAAATGTTGCCTGTCCTGCAAGTCATTTCAGAGTGCCCCGTTTGGAACATGAACTGTTTTGTTGTCCTATTTTTTTTAAAAAATGGCTGTTCCAAATATCTACTTGGCTTGGCTTTAGTTCCTGAGTTTCCAACCTAAATTGGTTTAATGGACCAGGGAAGTCCTTATGATACACTGATAGTTCAGTAAGAAGTGGGCATCTCCGTAGTTCACCTTACATCTACCTGTGAGCTTATGCAATGCTGTAACATAATCGTGCAGGCTGCTGCTGTGTACAGGCAGGTAGAACACTGGGCATCAATAATGGATGTAGAGCCAGTAGCTAAGAGATAACTTTGTCTGCAGGCTTTGTATCTTTCTATAACAAGCAACCTGGCTTATTCAGACCTTTAGAGGATAGCACATTGCAGATCCTGAAGCATGCTGCAGTCAAAGTGTTTTCCATGTGCAACTGCATATGACCTATTAATCTTACACTCTTTTTTGTTGGGTTGCTCAATGAAGTCCTGAATTGAACTAATAAACTTTGTACTATTCTCTAACAGTTTAACACATGAGCCTGAGGATGTTAAAGAACAATGGATCATCAAAAATATAATTGATGTTTAATTAGTTTCATTTCAAACCAGACACAAATGGAGGAAAGATTTAACTCTACAATCCAATTCTAAACATGTTTACTACACAATAAATCCTATTAAGTATGCTTAAAACTGTAGCCTTAATCTTTTTGCCTGTGTGGGCATTTGAAGTGTTTTCTCTGATCACTTTATGACAAATGTGGCTCTGGGCAGCTCACACGTAAGGCAGCCTTCAGTGATACGTACAAATGGGAAGCAGTTAAGTACCATGAAACACTATAGGGCAGCTTGTAAGCGTTTGTGGTTTTGATTTGATTTGTTAGATTTTTATCCTGCCCTCCCAGTCAAGGGCGGCTTACAAAACCGAATAAAATTCCAACAATACGCATAAAATCACAACATCAGATAACAGTGTTAAAACCAGAAACACAATAAAGTGATAGCAAGCATAATTTCCTCATTTTACAGTCAGCTTCTTGATCTTCTTCAGTTGTATTGGGCTAGAGTTATTCATCTATTAGTTAAAATACTAGTCAATTTCAGTCATGTTTGGCCTGCCCTGGCTCATTATTTCTGAGTTTGGGCAAATTGAACTGCTCAGTCACTGAATCACAGCAGCCCCTGACAGACTCAGCTGGGAGCTTTTTATTCTCCCAGCTACCTAACATTATTATATCAGCACATTCCCTTTTTGCTGATGTCACTTCTGAAGCAGTTGTGTTGAGGGCTGAAAAGGTGATATGGATTCCATATGCTTTGAAAGTGAGCTCACAATGTTGGTATATCATTGTGGAACAGAAGCACTTCTTTATTAATTTTACAGTCCACCTTTCTTTACATGAAGCTGCCTTCTATAGAAACAGATCCTCGGTCCATTAAAGTCAGTATGGTCTACTTAGACTAGTTGCAGCAGCTCTCCAGGGTCTCGGGCAGAGGCCTTTCACATCACCTGCTGCCTGATCCTTTCAACTGGAGATGCTAAGGATAAGAACCTAGGGCTTTCTGCATGCCCAGCAGATGATCTCCCACTGAGCCATGGCTGTTGCATAAATTAAAGGTGGCATACATAGGATTACCCAGAGGCTTCTCATCCATTGGCCAGTCCCAGGCCTGCTTCATTTCAGTAAAATTGCTGTGTCGTGTTTTTCTTTTGTTACTGTCACTGTTGGGTTCCATGTCTCCATTTTATAGCAGAGGTGTAGGTGACTTATTATGCCTGGGAATTTGTCCTTGCTTTTAGACAAAGACAGGAAAGTCCTGCCTTTCCTGAACATAAAATGTGATTTCCTAGCATCTAGCTGAGTCAGATCTGCCCATTCCAAAAACCCATCCTGGAAAGGGAAGACTTAGTGAATGTTTTCATACTTTTATTGAAGATCAGATTTGTGTGATAGATGAGAGCCAGTGTGGTGTAGTGGTTAAGAGTGGTGGATTCTAATCTGGAGAGCTGGGTTTGATTCCCCATTCATCCACATGAAGCCTGCTGGGTGACCTTGGGCCAGTCACAGTTCCTCTCAGAGCTCTCTCAGCCCCACCTACCTCACAAGATGTCTGTTGTGGGGAGAGGAAGGGGAGGTGAATGAGACTCCTTAAAGTAGAGAAAGCAGGGTATAAAAACCAATTCTTCTTCTCCTTCATGGTGAGAGTAAAGACTGCCTTCACATCAACAGTATTTGGTGAACAGTCCTTATAAGTGGGACACTTGATGAAATGAGTCTCACTGTCCCTGCATCAGCAATATTTTTAAAAGAATTGTCAAATACAGTATATTGTAATTCTACTGTGTGAGATTTCTCAGGCTATTTGTGTCATTGACGTTCCCTGCACAGATTTACTGTGAACTGAAAACACCAATTTTCACTTCCTCACAAGTGCCAAAAGTACTGAGCTTGACCTGCTACTTAAATAAACCCACATTATTTATGCTTCTAGGCTATTATGCGAGTGTGACATTTCAGCCTTGCAGCTAATTTGCTGGCCCACAAACCTGTGTAAGCATGAATGCAGCTAATTAATGAGTTATTTATAGCAAAAAGGGTGGCCTGAAAAAACTACAACTAAAGGGTTGCCAGGCTCTGGGTGGGACCTGGAGATCTTCTGCTTTTACAACTGACTTCCAGACAATAGGGCTTGGTTCCCCTGGAGAAAATGGCTGCTTTGGAGGGTGGACTCCAAGGCACTGTATCCTGCTCAGGTCCCTCCCCAAACCCCCTTCTTCCATGACTCCACCCCCAAAATCTCCAGGTATTTCCTGGCAACCCTTTGCAATTAACTGTTTACAGTTCCAGTTTTTAATTACCCCACCAGCAAGGGGAATGGCTCTGTTTAGTTGAGGTAGAAATTTGCACTGCAAACTCATATGAAATGAGAAAAACAAAATTAGATAGAGATTCCCCCTTTTAATTATATTTTTCTACATTTTGTGAGATAACAGAAGTAGGATATATTTTCATCCAAGATTCCAGAAAGAGTTATTATTCAATGTATACTTGGAAGTCAATTTCACTGAGTTCCATGAACTGATTCTCAAGCAAGTATGCACAGAATCATAAGCTTAGAGCTAAATTAAAAAAACAAACAAAACCATTCTGCTTTTGTTAATAGTAACCTTCTCTTTTGCTTTCTTCCAGCTAGTCAGCTTGCTGCTGATTGGGATTGCAGCATGGGGCATAGGTTTTGGCCTCATATCCAGTTTCCGGGTCGTTGGAGTAGCAATTGCGGTGGGGATATTTCTGTTCCTGATTGCTCTGGTGGGATTGATTGGAGCCGTCAAGCACCATCAGGTGTTGCTGTTCTTCGTATCCTTTCACTTTGGAACTTTGTCGCCACCCCACCCTTATGTTAGAACTACTTCAAATCCTCTTATCTGCGCCCCTTCACCTGTCCCAGATGTTGTTTGTATTCCCTCGCTTGCTTCATTGAAATGAGGAAAGCTTGTTCCAATGACCTCATCTAAAGTACAAGGAACGCATTAACTAGCTGGCCCTCAACCCAGTTATGACATTGTTTGGTAGAGCAAACATTTTTCCGTCTGTCACAGTCACAAGACTGTAGTGGTATAACTGGTTCCCTTGAAATTGTAACAAATCAGAGATATGGAGTGCAGGCTGCTTCTTGAGCAGGGGAGTGAATTTGTTCTTTAGCTTCTTAGAGGTAGTCTGTATATTCTGCTAATAAAAAGTAAAGGTAAAGGTTCCCTTGCTCGAAAGCCAGTCGAATCCGACTCTAGGGTTGCGGTGCTCATCTCTGTTTCAAAGCCGAAGAGCCAGCGCTGTCCGAAGACGTTTCCGTGGTCATGTGGCCGGCATGACCAAACACCAAGGCGCACGGAACGCTGTTACCTTCCCACCAAAGTGGTACCTATTTATCTACTTGCAATTTCTTGCTTTCGAACGGCTAGGTTGGCAGGAACTAGAGATGGGAGCTCACGCCATCATGCTAATACTGAATTATTAAAGCTGTTTTAAGTTCTTAGTCCAATTTGGTTTGGTTTATTATTTTTTTTAAAGGGCTTCATATGTGGGGGAGATTTTACTTTGTAGTAGCTAATTTCTGTGTAGTCCGAAGCAGAGTTACTCCAGTATAAGTCCATGGATGGTGGAGGGTGTTGTTTTTTGCAGCATTAGGCCAGCAAATGCCCTCTCTTAGGACTGACCCTATGGCAATGGTCAGGTCATGGGCTTTCTGTGTGGTAGGTCCAGAGAATGGTTTACAAGGGTGAGTTCAGAGGGTGCCTATAACTGTATTTATGAAGACATGTGAATTGGTTTGACTTTAGAGAGTGTTTGGTGTGGTGGTGGTGGTAAACTGTTTCAGCAGCTGAGGCTATGATTTTTACCTGTGTGGTATTGTGACTTGTTGTGTAAGCTACCTTGTATCCAGGTAGATGAGGAAAGATACAAATATGTTAAACAAATATGATGTAAGTACCTAGTGAACTAAATGTTATCAGGTTTGGGGGAATGGAGTGTTTCATTTCTTTTAATTTAGGTAATTTGCACCCTACTTTTATGCTCATAGAGCACCCAATAATTAAAAAACCCCAACAAGATAACAATACAATAACTGCTGTCATACACGTTGGAATCCAATGTTGCCCTCATTGTGATTGATCTTGTTCCGACCTATTTTGCTGTTATGATCCCATATTTTTGACACTTTCATCAAGGCTGGTATCAACTGCCTGGAAACCCAAGTGATCGCTTCAGATTCAAATGCAAGTTCTGTTTGCGGTGGAGTTTTGCTGTAGACAGTTTAGCTGGCTCAAGCCAGGATTAAAGTAGTTTCAAGGAAGAATGAAACAAAGCAATCTGGTATGTTCTTCCAGGTCAATGGAGAAGAATGTGGGTGACAACATGATTTCCTCCATCCCACCCCTTCCCCAATAACCCCAGGCAAACTTTCATGTCTTTTTTTTGGGGGGGGGGGTGAGTTAGCTTTAGCTGGCTCTGAGTAAAGGTTAGTCAGTAGCTGTGCTACTATGAGGAACAAAATAAAACTTCATTTGGGGGAGTGGTGGGGTTGCTGTGTTTCCTTCCACATGGGCACTCTTATGCTTGATTTTTCTTCACAAAAAAGTGGAGAAAGCCACTTGTGTGAGAGTAGGTACAGCTTGTCAGACTAGTAGGCAGTTTATTAGAATTTAATGTAGACAAAATGGTGTGGTGTGTAATGTTGTTTAGGGCTGCCAACCTCCAGGTTGGGCCTGACGTTATCCCAGAATTGTAACTGATCTTCAGACTGGAAATCAGTTCCCCTGGAGAAAATGGCAGCCATATTCCGTCTCAGCCCCGCTGAGCTTGTTCCCTTCCCCAAATCTCCATGAATTTCCCACCCCAGAGCTGGCAACCGTATTGCTGCCTCACGCGTGGTGCTCATTGCTATCCCAGTTTCCAAGGGTTCCCACAGTTGAAGCTGTCTGAGTTAGACTGTGGTTTACTATTCTTGCAGAGGCTTCTGGCATTTGGAACGGAAGTCTGTGGATGGTTTCAAAGACACTATGTCTGAGTATATGGATGACTTTTGCTTCAACAGACTTCACCTATGCAAACAGGTGTATTGTTGTTCTATTAATTTTCTTCGTTGAAAAGTTAGATTTCAGAGCACTGGAGTGTCAGGCATATATTTACTAATCCTTTCAGAATATTTTTAAAAACATGGTGTGAAATTTAGGATCAGAGTGATACAATGAACATTCCAGAACAGTGAAAATAAAGATTTAATCCTTCACCACCACAATCTTAGATCTGCTGAGGTTACTTTCTCTTCTAAGTCACTGAAAGCAGGTAATGTTTACACAGCAGGTGCTGGCTGCTTATTAATATTGTTTAGCAAGGCAGTGCTTGATCATGTTTCTCATGGTTCCCATCCTTTAGAGCTTGGTAATTTTCCTTATTGAAATAGGAGCTCTCTGAAGCAGGTAGGTTTCCATGCTCTGAGGTATAGGACTCAACTGGAACTTATGTTGTCTCCTGATGTGCTTACTGTCTCAGACGAGTCTTCCAGATGATGGTGTTTTAGTGGGAATGTCATAAACGGACTCTCCAGGGACAGTAAAGAAGTTCCCAACGTGGGAACATGTGCTACAGCTGAGAGGCAAAAAGGCAGCCCAGAACACAGCTTCTTCTGCAGCTTGTATTGTGCGTTGAATGTTGTCTGTGAGATTATACCTGCACCATTCAGCAAGAAACAAGGCCCTC